GCTCCCCATTTTTGCTGCCTCCTGCCTGAACTGGGAGGGGAGGGGTGGGCTCTGGGTGGTCCCCAGGTCAGAAGTTAGGGCCACGCAGGAGGTAAGAGGATAGAGTGCTGGGGAGGGAGCTTGGCACCTGGCGGGTGGTGTCTCGTTGGGGGCTCACCCAGCCACAGGGAGGGCGAGGGAGAGGGAGACTGGACAGTGCCGCCCTTCTCCCCCTGCCCCAGCTGAGTGGGAAGTACGGACCCGTGTTCACCGTGCACCTGGGACCCTGGCGGCGCGTGGTGGTGCTGGTCGGGCGCGAGGCGGTGCAGGAAGCCCTGGGCGGCCAGGCAGAGGAGTTCGGCGGGCGGGGGACGCTGGCAACTCTGGACCCGACCTTTGACGGCCATGGTGAGTCCCAAGTGGGGTGGCCCTCGGAGCCTGCTTTGCGTACCCGTGTGGGACCCGTGTGCGACCCGTGTGCAGGCCTGGTGTCACTGGGCCTGTTTCCTCATCGATAAAATGGAATGATCATTGTGCCTGTGCCTGCACATAGCGTAGTGAGGCCTGGGCCTTGCACAAAGCAAGCACTGGGAGTCTCCAGGGTGCAGCAGTGTCCCCTCTCGTCCAGGCAAAGCCCCAGGGCTGGGAGGGAGGCGCAAGCTTTGAAGGCACTGGGCACTAACTGAGGTGCAAACACAAAATCTAGAAACGATTCTCCCTGCCAGAGTCCCACACAGCAGCGACTAAACAGTCCCGTCTGGCCCTCCCTCAGTGCCTAGACCTGTGGGGAGAAACACCGGTCACCAGACAGTGACAGTCTGGAGAGGTCAGGAATGAGAGACGGACTGGCAGAGGGGTCAGGGCCAGGATGGGGGAAGTCCTGAGACTCTAGGAATAGGAGGAGGGTCTTCACCCAGCCTGTTTGCTGGGAGGTGTCCAGGAACCTTTCCTGAAAGATGGGGTATCTGAGCTGTGACAGAAGGAGCGGGGAAGGTGTTCCCGGCAGAGACCAGCAAGTACAAAAGCATGGAGGTGAGACCAAGTATTCCTTCATTCAACTGACAGGTTTGCATTATGCCAGGCCCTGCGCTGGGTACTGGGGACACAGGTAACCGAGACAGATGTGGTGTCCTGTCTCACTGTGGGAGAGGTGGGTTTGCAATAAGACAGTGAGGGGAGAGAACAGAATTCTAAAATGAGGGGTACAGCCTTGAGAGCAGGACATGGGACCCTGTACAGGCCTGGGGATAGAGTGGGGGAAGAATGGGAGAAATCTGGAAAGGCTTCTCAGAGGAGATGACATTTGAGTTGTGATGTGAAGGATGAGTGGAGTTAATTCAGGGAGAATGGAGAGCTAGCTGAGTGATCCAGGCAGAGGGAACAGGCCTAGAGGGGGAATCCTGACACCTCTGAGGAAGTGAGAGAAGGCAGTGATGGAGTGGGATGAATCATAAAGTCGAAGTTGGCAGCGCCTGGTCAGGGGGGCCTGAGTCACACAGTGTTTGGCCTTTGGGTGTTCTGGTGAGTGGTAGATATTAAGCAGGGAAAAGGTACAGAGTTAGAAAGATCACCTGGTTGGGAGCTGTGTGGGAGCCCAGGGAGGGGACTGGGCTGGACCAGGGCTGGGGCCTTGGGTTTGGAAGGGAGGCGGTTTGGAGAGGAATCCACAGCTCCAAGTGGGGCAAAGGGTGGTGGGCTGAGAACAGGGAAGAAGAGAGATGTTGAGGCGTTGGGGACACAGAGGAGGGTCGGGTAGGCAGGGGACACCTGGAAGGAGGCATCCAGGGGGCCACTACAGGCCAAAATTCTACAAGTGGGAAGGAACACTGAGCTCAGAGCAGGGAAGGGTCCGTCCGGAGCGGGTGTCTTGGATCGAGGAGGAACACAGTGCAGCTCCACCTTCTAACTCCCTGTTCAACCTTCAAACAACCTCCCCTGGGGCAAGGGACCAGGTAGTGCTCCGTAAATGTTGGGGTGGAAGGAAGGAAGGAAGAGGGGGGAAGGGGACGGGTATGGGTGAGTGAAAAGAAAAATAAAAAGCTGTATGGAAGGAAGGAAGGAAGGAAGGAAGGAAGGAAGGAAGGAAGGAAGGAAGGAACCTTCACTCACCTGGTTAATTACAGAACAGGAGCCTGGCTGACCCCAGTTACCAGCTCCGCAGGAGAATGTCACCCTCTGGCCCGGGGTTAGGTATTTGTTAAGCACCTACGGAGCCTCTGCCCTGGACTGGGCAAGTGTGGACTCGGGACAGGGCCTGAAGAGCCCCCTCAGGGCACCTCACTGGGGGGAAGGTGGTGGTCCTAGGGGATGGGGAGAGGAGCCAGCCCCCCTTGAGCCCAGCCTTCCGCGCAGGGGTCTTCTTCTCCAACGGGGAGCGGTGGAGGCAGCTGAGGAAATTTACCACGCTCGCCCTGCGGGACCTGGGCATGGGGCGGCGGGAAGGCGAGGAGCTGATCAGCGCCGAGGCCCGGTGCCTGGTGGAGGCCTTCCAGGGGACAGAAGGTCAGCAGGGCAGGGCAGCCAGGGCCCTGGGGTCCTGCGGGTGCAGGGAGGACCCTCCCACGGTGCCTGGGCTGGGGCTCTATTCACCTCCCCCCTCACCTCTGTCACTGCCCTGCTGTCTCCCCGAGAGTCTGTATTGTCACATCACTTTCTGCCTCTTCTCTCGTTTTCTCTCCTGTTTGTCTCTGTCTCGCCTCCCTATTTGTCTCTGTCTCTCTTCTCTTGTCTGTTTCTCTGTCCCTGTCTGTCTGTCTCTGCCTCTGTGTCTTTCTCTTTGTGGTTGCATCTGGCCCCATGGAGCCAGTCCTCTCCGACTCCATCACCACACTGCCCCTTGCCTCCTTCCCACCAGGACAGCCATTTGACCCCTCCCTGCTGCTGGCCCAGGCCACCTCCAATGTCATCTGCTCCCTCACCTTGGGCCTCCGTTTCCCCTACGAGGATGAGGAGTTCCAGGCTGTGGTCCGGGCTGCTGGCGGCATCCTGCTGGGGATCAGTTCCCCGTGGGGCCAGGTAAGCGGGTGACACCCCTCTCCAGCCACTTCCCTCAGGAGCTCCCGCCTCCCTCTTCCAGGTGACCCCCCCGAGCACCCCATCCACCTGCCCCTCCACCTTGGCGCGGGGCCAGGCCCCCCTAGGAACAGCTGCCCTTCTCCCCACAGGCCTACGAGATGTTCTCCTGGCTCCTGAAGCCCCTTCCGGGACCCCGCACCCAGCTCCTCGGCGACTTGGGCGCCCTGGCCACCTTTGCCATTGAGCAGGTGCAGCGGCACCAGGGGAGTGTGGACACCTCAGGCCCTGCACGTGATGTTGTGGATGCCTTCCTGCTGAAGATGGCAAAGGTGGGCAGGTTGGGGTGCAGAGGGGCTCCTGAGTGGGGCTGGTGGCCTGGCTGTCTTCCACCCGGGTGTGGCCGGGAACAGGTCAGGCCATTTCTCTCTCTCTCCCTCTCCACGTCTCCATGAATCTGCCTGCACACGTGTGTGCACCTCTCTTCTTTCTGGTACACTGTTCTCTCCGCCCCTCCCCACCCCCACCTAACGCGTGGCTGAGTCTCTCGCATCTCTCCTCTCTCTACTTCCTCCAACCTCAGCCCCGTGCCCAGTGACCTGCCACCAGCAAGGCCACCATCGTTGCACCCTGCTCCTCGCTCCCCCTACCCACACAGGGCACCTCCTGTGACTTAGCCATTTCCTTATGAAACCTTGCAGTAGCAAATTGTGCTAATAAAGTCTGCTTTATTAATTATATAAGAGCAGTATTATTATATGAGAATTAAGGTGAGTCTTGTAGAAATAACTAGCTTTGCATTGTACAAACTCTGGAATTATGGAAACTACTCAGGGCCACATCCTTTGAATAAATGCAGCCACCTTGTTCCTGGAGAGAGCATTTTTTCTTATCCGTGTGGCCCCATTTCTTTTCTATTTTTTTTAAATAAAATAAAAAAAAATTGTAGCCCGGCCAGCACGGCTCAGTGGTTGAGCATAGACCCATGAACCAGGAGATCCACGGTTCGATTCCCGGTCAGGGCACGTGCCCAGGTTGTGGCTCATCCCCAGTCGGGGGCGTGCAGGAGGCAGCCGATCACTGACTCTCATCGTTGATGTTTCTCTCTCTCTCTCCCCCTCTCCCTTCCTCTCTGAAATCAATGAAAACATATTTAAAGTAATGACGATAATAATTGTAGTAAAATACACATAACGTAAAATTCACCATCTCGACCATGTTTGAGCGGACACTTCAGCGTTAAGTGTGTTTCCGCCGTTGTGGAACCCATCTTCAGTGCCCTTGTCAGAGCTAAAGTGCCAGACTCTCAAGGCTGCGCCCCGAGCCCCGCCCAGCCCCTGGCGGCACCCGTCTATTGCGCCTTCATGCATTCGCCTGCCCTGGGGACCTCATGTAAGCGGAACCTCACAGTACGAGCCCGTTTTGACTAGTTTCTTTCATGGAGCGCTGGCCTCGCGGTTTCTCTACGCTGCAGCCTGTGGTGGGGTGTCTTCCTCTTCAGGGCTGAATTATACTCCATGGTATGGATGGGGCACATTTCATGTATCCATCCATCCATCCATCCACGGGCGCTTGGGTTACTCCCCCCCGTGGCTCTTGTGGTTGACACCACTACGAACATAAGTGCACAAATATCTCTTCGAGACCCTGCTTTCACTTCTTTTGGAGATAAGCCCAGTGGAATTGCTGGATCATGCAGTGATTCTATTTTAGTTTCTCTGAGGAACTGCCATGCCATTTTCCAGAGCAGCTGCACCATTTTACATCCTCACTAGTGGGGACAGTGGTTCCAGTGTCCCCACATCCTTACCAACACTTGTCATTTTCTGTTTGTTTGTTTATGGTGGCCATTCCCTTTCATTTTTAAAAACATTTCAACCAGAGAGAGTAATGTGAAGAGTCCACTTCCTGACTTTCCCAAACATTTCTTTAAACTCCTTGACAAAGCTTGACCCGGCCATGCTGCACCCCAAGCTTGGCTGCGCGGGGCCCCTGCTCCCTGCAGGTTGTGCTCTCTCTCTCAGCCCCTCTGCCCGGTCTCTTCTCCCAGGACAAGCACGATCCAAACACAGAATTCACTGACAAGAACTTGCTGATGACTGTCATTTATCTGCTGTTCGCCGGGACGGCTACGGTCAGCGCCATGATCCGCTACACCCTCCTGCTCCTGCTGAAATACCCTCAGGTCCTAGGTAGGAGCCATTTTCCACCAGCCAGGCCCTGGGAACAGAAGCGGGGGCTGGAGAGGAAGAATGCTGAGGAGGGTGGACAGGCTGAGCCAGAGCCAGGAGGTGACCATGAGCCCGGCACCTGGGGGCCTGAGGAGTGAGAAGTGAGAGATTGCTGGTTGCCACATGAGGCATAGTGAGAAATGAGGCAGGAGATGTCTCGGGGCCTTGTCACCTAATCCTGAGCAATGGGGAGCCATGGAAGGATGTTGAGTGGGGGAGAGCGGGGCCAAATTAGCATTTTAGAAAAATTCTTTGGGCTGCCATGAGGTGGTAGATTGTAAGGGGTGACAGGGGATGCCAGGAGCCCAAGGAGGGAAGACTGGGTAGGGACCTGGGTGGGAGAGGACTGGGCTGGGTCAAGCTGTAGGGAAAAAAGAAGGGGCCAAGTAGGCAAGTGGTGGAGAATGGTGGGGGAGGGAGACATCCAGGGTTCTGGCCAGGAACTGTGGGAATGTGGGGCTACCCCAAGATGGAGGCAGAAAGGATGAGAGGCTGTTTCACGGGAGACACTGAGGCCAGTTTGGGACACTTTGAGTGTAAGGGGCCTGGGGCCACCTGTGAGGAGGCATCCAGGAGGGTCGGGACTAGAGATGAAAAACAAATTGTGGTCCTGAGAACACAAGAAGGAACTGAAGCTGGGATGGTGGGGGACGGTGCAGGGCTGGTAACAAGCCCCAGGGAGCTCCAGCATCTCACGTCAGGCAGGGAAATGCTGTCGAGCCAGTGCGGTGGGCTGACCTGGAAGATGGGACTTGGGGTGTGGTGGCCTTGGTTGAATGGAGTCAGCTGTGACGTCAGCTCTGTGGGCCTGTTTCCTCATTTGGGAAATGGGGACAGATACTGATACCTAGCTCACAGGATTGCTGCGAGAGTTAAGAGAGGAGAGAAGGAATGCCCAGCACACAATGTGTGGGACCCAGGCTTGGCGATGGCTGGGGGACTGTCCTCCTCCCTGCCCACCAGCCTCACCCCTAACCACAGCTGCTCGAGAAGATGGGGCTTCCAAGGAGAGGTCCCCACCCCTCCTCTGGCCTCACTCCTCCTCTTCTTGGGCGCAGAGCGCGTGCAGGAGGAGTTGACAAGGGAGCTGGGGGCTGGCCGGGCGCCAGGCCTGGGGGACCGAGCTCGCCTCCCGTACACGGACGCGGTTCTGCACGAGGCGCAGCGGCTGCTGGCACTGGTGCCCATGGGGATACCCCGCGCCCTCACGAGGACCACCTGCTTCCGAGGGTACACCCTGCCCCAGGTAGGTCTGTGGCGCAGCTATGCCCAGCAGTGTCTCTGCCTTGGGCCTGAGTCTTGCTATCTGTGTTTCTCTGACTTTTTCTGGATCTTGGTCTTTCTCTCATATCTCTCCCTCTCTCCCTCTCTGATCTCCCCCCCTCCCCCCCC